AAATAAAGGAAGGTCCCGGGCCTGGGTGTCGCTTACTGACCGGTACCGGTGGGTGGGAGGCTGCCGCCCCAGCGTCCAGTGTCGGGGGACGAAGAGTTGCCGCGTCAGGGCCTGGTCCAAGGAAAAGTTGCCCAGCCACGAAGACCCCAAGAGGCAGCAGGCCAAGCGGCCCGCGTCATCCGCGGAAAGGGTCTGGTCGCCGAACACGGCCAGTCCAAGGGCCCGCGGCACCGTGGCGTCTCCTCCCTCCGCTCCTCCCTCGGGGCCCGGAGCGGGAGTCTCAGCTCCGCCGAGCGCCAGGATGCGTGGAGGGCGCAGGGCTGGAAGCACGGCACGCGCATATGCAGCCAGCACATAGCTTTTGTCAAAAATGCACTCAAGGCGACTGCTCAACTCGGCCAGGGGAAAGTTAGGCTCCGCGATGAGGAGCAAAAGCTGCGGTTGTCGTTGCAGCACCATATCCTGCAACGCTGATGCATCCGCACCGTCACTTCCGGCACCTTGTACTCCTTTGCGTCGGAGTTGAGGGAATGAGGCGTCGTGGCATCGAAAGAGGACAACCTCCTGGGCGTGGGGAAGGGCGACGCTGATGCATGTTGCGGTGCTCGGGTGCTTCCATGAGAGCTCTTCTTTTTCCCTCGCAGGGTTGCCTCTTTCCGTTGTCATCAAATCCGTATCGAGAAGTTGATTGCGCTCAGCAGTGGCGATCAAGGTCGGCGCAGTAGCTTGAATTGCCCCGTCCGTATCTTGGTCTTCAAGCTCGTCATGGAGATGCAGCAGTTGGAAGGTGATTTTCGACGGATACTGTGAGTCTTGCCATGCTTTCTCAGCTTCATTCAGAATCTCAGAAAGCTTGCGATTTCCAGATTGCGTCCGCACGATACTCAAGGCAGTGTCCGCGCCGGTAGAAAATGTATGGGATTTGGGATGGCGGCAGCCCCGGCAAGAGGGAAACTTGGCTGAGGCAGTACCGGAAGACCCCTCAGGCTGCAATCGCAGGCACGTCGCCGGCTCTGTTAAGCCACACACCCAGGGCCGCCGCCGCACCATGCGATGTAGCATATTTCCTGGGGAGTAGGCTGTCTGGCCGAAGACTTGGTGAGTCACATTTCTCGTCACCCGACTGCGAACATCGCCTGTGGCGCCTGAGGCGGCGATCTCGACATCGGAAAGGGGCGAGAGGCAGCGAGGCCGCGGCGGAGATCAACACGATAAGAGGAACAATTCCTGGGCGAGATAAGAGCACGTGTCAGGCCCCCGCCCTCCGGCATCGAGTGTGATGCACAAGTCATACACGTGGAAACTCAAAGCTGGAGGCACCGAGCACGGGGAGGCTGTGTCCCGGCGTCTGAGTGCTCTCTTCGCGCTGTATCAGACCTACCCCGACCTCCGTGACGGACGAGGCGGCAAGCCCAGGAAAATTCCCGGGAAAGACTCACAAATTCACCGATCCGCTTGTCCTGCAAAGAAGCATCACTAACGCAAGCTTCTTTCCTCTCAGTTTCAACTTGAAATTTCAGGGGGGTTGCTAGAGTATTACTCGGTTTTTACGTGCGAGGAGGGGGGGAAAGCTTGAATCCCGGTCCTGCCTCGTGAGCGCGAAGGTTTTCTCCAAACGACATGGCGGCTGCCATAGCACCAAGCGCGACGTCATCTACCTCCTCGGCTTCATCACCACCGCCTTCCTCGATGCCCCTGCTGGATCGACACCCGAGCAACTCCTCCACGGGTCGGAGCAGTCGTAGGTTGGCCGCCATGAAGGGTTCTGCGGGGGCGGACTCAGCCGCGGTCGCCCCGGTCCCTGCGCGAGAAACCAATGCTGTCGGGAATGGGGGGGCGGGGCACGGTAATCGCGAGGACAGCTGCAAAATACGAGGTCGGGAGGAGGAGGTCGAAGCGCCCTCCGGTTCCATAACCTTGACGCCCTCCAATTCGGACGAGCCCAAGGCGAAGAGGGCACGCCAGCAACTTTCTTTGGTCATTCAGCCCCCGGTCCCGCGCTACCCGTTCGTGAATAACTTTTTCGACGTCCACGTCTTCCTCTTTGACGAGGCCAACCAAGTGAAGAGCGGGTGAGTTGCTCGGCGCACAGGAAGATAAGGATGAAGAAAATGACCACTTAGGCATCGAAGCGTTGAGGCCGGTACCACGTGGCGACTTTCACACTCATAATTATGCTCACATCCCCATGCAAACCACCATTAACGGCGCACAGCGATGAGTTCGAGCTGCCCTTGCGTGTCCGGTTGGTCTTCAACGAGAAGGCGCGCTCCTCTGTGGAGAAGGACGTGATGGAGGTGGACCCCGCTGTCCCCCGCCTGGGCCGCCACGGCAAGTGCAGCTTTCGCGTGCGCCTGAGAGACGTGTCCATGAACTTCGACAACCGCGATTTCCGCCTGCAGGTGGCGGTGGGGGGGGGCGCAAAGGGAAGCGGGCTGGCAGTCAGCAAATATTTTGTGGCCCCTGTTTTTTCGGACCCGATGACCGTGGTTCGGCACCGACTGCGGATTCGCTCGGAGACTCAGCCGCCGACCGTATGGTACAAGGACGAGGGTGGTCGGGACAAGTGCATGGAGGTGGCGGTGGATCTGGTGGACTCGGAGGGCCGGCGCGTGCACGGACAGGAGGTGCCGCTCCGGGTCTCGTTGCTCTACGAGGACTTGCAGCCGGTGGGGAAGCAGAACATTCTCAAGCTCTCCTCGGACTCACGGCAGAGCATCGATCATACGGGCACGGCCATGCTGCGCCTGCGGATCGAGGACGTGTCAAAAAACCACCAGAGCAAAGGCTTCGTAATCCAGGTGGGGGCAGACGTGCAGCACGCGCCGCTGAACTCGGACATCTCTCCCGACACGAGCACCTCTGTATCTGTCCGGTCGAAGCGGAATCGGCGGTCTAAGCAGGGGAGAGGGGCCATGGGAGAGC